GGGGGGGGGGCTTGAAAGAGTGGGAGGGAGGGCGAAAGGTACAGGACAATATGAGTAAATTGATAAGGGGGGGGCGCTGGCTCGCGTCTAAGACAATTGATATTCCCGTCTGATCTCAAGTCCTGCTTCCTTAACGACCGGGCAAGTTGAATTTATAATGAAAATCTCCCAGTAAGTAATTTATATATATATATATATATATAAAGGTAAATCGCTAAATTGTTAAATATTTATAAAAACGAAATAACTAGCCGTTAAGGGGTACTGATATTCGAAGAACATTATTAGTAGATACAAGATACGATATACACGATTAATATATAAATACATCTATATATATATATATATACATACATAATATATATGTATAAAGTTATATACATATACTTACTTGATTAAATACATAGGTACGTTCATATACGTACTAGGTATTTACTATATAGGGACGGGAGAGAAAAAGAGAGGGAGAGAGCGAGAAGAGACAGTAATTAAAAGATGTTAACTGTTATGTCTGCTATCGCTTATCTCTTTTCACCAGGAATATAGAGGAAGTGTGAAAACTAGAGAGAGAGAGAGAGAGAGAGAGGGGGGGAGAATGAATCGTGGAATTTAACGAGAAGAGAGAAACGATATATTATTATTATTATTATTAATTACTTATTATTACTATTATAACTACTACTATTACTATTACTATTACTACTACTACTAGGTATACCGATACGAAGCGTCGTTGTTGCGCGTAAAATTTGCATTTTACGATAATTCGACGAACGTGGGGTTTGATAAGCTCGACGAAGACGGACGAAAATGAAAAGGGAAAAAAAATTGAATTAAACGATAAAGGAAAAAAAAAAAAAGACGTAACCCGTTGAATCTCGCGAGCAAGGCTAGAAGTAGTGTTTAGACGGACAAAGTGAATGGTAATAGACAGAGAGAGAGAGAGAGAGTGTGTGATGAGGAATAATATTGTTATCGTACAAATATGAGCGATCTGTCATGTGTTCAAAAAAAAAAAAAAAAAAAAAAAAAAAAAAAGGGAAATAACTTTATTCCCATCTCGTCGGTATAAGAATAAATCGCGAGGATGCTTTATTATGAAATCGGAAATTGGCGTCGATCTTCGGGCGAAGAGCGAGCGTTTCCAGACTAGGAAGTTGGTTTCACAATGGTTGCTCAAGGCACTGCCACATCTTTTCTCGTTCTTTTTCCCACCCAATGTGGTATCGTACTTATAGTTCGATTGATTAGAGTGGCCATGTTGTGTCATCGTCGACGTCGGTTCATCAGGTCCAGGCACACATGCCTACTGGTATTTATCTAAACCCGGTGCCAATCCAACCCCTCCCCGCCCCACTCAAAAAAATTATCCTATCATCGATATGTGTTGTATCACAAAGCCTCGGCGTCATCCGTCTCGATCCTTGATCGTAAAATCCATCGATTTCTCTTCCCGTTCAATTTTCATTTTTTTTTTTCATCCCGCTGGTATATCATCTCTTCTTTAAATATCCTATTCCCCTTCTAAAGCCCCAAATCATCGCCACGAGATCCCGGGCGGACACGAATTCATTATATATCCTTTCGATGATGTTCTGCGTGAAAGGTCAGACGTTATATAGCGGGTAGACGTTAACGTTAAAAAAAAAAAAAAAAAAAAAAAATGCCCTGTGCCCAAACGAATAAAGTAAAAATATAAAAAAAAAAGATGGCGAAAATGAGAGAGAAAAAAAGTAATAATAATGAATTAAAAAAAATGTGTCGGCTGTGAGCTTCCAAGCAAATAACAATAATTAAATTATTATAATATTATACGAGAGGTGGATTAACGAAGAGGAAGAAGAAGAGAAGGTTAAACGATATTCTACCTAATTGTTATGAAACGTGAATTTTCATTTATCTATATAAATGAGAAGATTTGTTATATATCTCATTGTCGCGTGTCGTAGCTATTATTATTATTATTATTATTATTATTATTATTATTATTGTCTATTTAAAGTGAACGTGAGAGGATGTGTGTTTTTTTTTCGCCGTAGAGAAGAGGCAACGACCTTCCGGCGACGTCACGAATTTTCTTTGCCTTTTATCTCGCGTCAATCATCGAATCGATGATTGTCGAGGAGCGTGTGCGGTGGTGGGTTTGCAAGATAAATTCGTGACGTCATTGCGCCAATTGGTAGCGGCAAGTAAGAAAAATAAAATAAACGTAGAAAGGAGAGGATGACGATGAGTGCGTTTAAATGAGAATGAAGGAGAAAAAAAAATAAAACGAAACACGTCAAGGCCTAGTGGGAAGGGATACAAACGTACAAGTTGTTGGAAGACGAAGAATAAAAGAAGAAGAAATTAATTTATTAAAAAAAAAAAAAGGAAGAAGAGTGCCTTCTATTTGTTTTTATCGTTGCATTGTTGTTGAACATTTGTTGCGTTACGTTCCAAGAGCCTCTAATGTTGTTATAATGATAATGGAAAAGAAAAAAAAAAGAAAAAAAAAGATAAATATTTGAGAAATGTTGTTCCTCTATTTATTTATTGATTTACGGGGGCAGCTCGGTCTCTTAAACGCGACGCCCAGCGAATTTTTGTCAAAGTGCGAAAAATTGCACTCTGTTACGTTGGTACTTGATACAATGTAAGACAATGAGACATACACACGCGACACCACACACGGCAAATACACGAGAGAAACATAATAATATATACATACACATTACACTGGATATATATACACACAAGCACAGCAGCCAAATTATTTAATTCTTAACTATAATATAATAATACGAGAGTCTTCGTCGACTCTTAAGATGTAACAAGCAAGCTCATTTCGGCACCTATTTCTGTGTATAATACACAAACCATACTTAGCAATATTTAAATATATATATATATATATATTAATATTATTATTACTATTACGTACCTACGGTATTTAGTTCGTAAGTCATTAATTATATACGAAGTGTGCGTGAACTCTGTGCGATTGTTGGATCAATATTGAAGATCTGTCAAATGGATGCGCGATTTCATTAATGATGCGTGGCGCGCGACTGATGACAATTCAGGCACGAATAGTATTTATCTATTTATGAAGACGTTGTGTGCTCGAATTCGAGGAACGATAATGTGTGGCTATGGTACGTGCTTGATTATGGGCGAGTATGGTAATAGGTAATACTAAAAATTAGATATGACTGTGACGCAACGCGATTGTAAAACGTGAATGTATCGTTTCCACGTTGAATTTTGTAAGATTCCGATTAAGTAGGAGTTTCGTGAAGCTCCGCAGTCGCCATTTGGGTTTTTTTCTGATTGCCTGGTGATCAATTTACTCAATTTTTCTTTGTACCAAATTTAACGTGGAGCGGGTTGAGCGCGAATGATCACCTCTCTTCGGATACTGTATAATTAAGAGATCCAAGCTAAAGCTAGTATTACATGTAGCGCAGCATCGATAGAGAAATAAAGTGTACTATATATATGTTTCGAGCAAAGCGTGCCTTTGGGATTGTCAATTGTTTAGGTTTTTTTTCCACCTTTAGGAGGGATGAAAAGGTTTTTTTTTTTAAGGACAGTGGATTGGATGTGACATTTTGTGTTGATTGATGAAAATATTGATTCAGGTGGTATCCATTGTGTATGGACGGTCAGTTTTTGATGCTTGATTGTCGTTGTAAATTGCATTTGATGACTCGGCTAAAGTTTTTCTTTTTGAAAATTGGAAAGTTTTTCAATTTGATTGTATTTCGATGATGAGTAGATTTATTTGCATTTGAATATCCCTCGGAGATCTTTTATTTTTTTTCCCTTGAATCTTCGCTGATTACCCGTTTGGGAATCGATGATTTGTCTTTATTTTTTTTTCCACTCTGATTTTTCAATTATTACTGATACTCGTTCGTTTCTTCGGTCGAGGCAGAACGAGGCGCGTCGGGAAAATTTGTCAAGGCACGCCACTTGAACATACATTTATGTACTAAGGATATAATATGAAAATAATTATACACAAAATGACACGTAGGTTGTATCAGAAATATATAAGGTATAAATAATCTACGATAAAACTATATAAAATAAAACTATATTAAATTGTAAGAGATACATATATTTAACACAAAATAATTATAATAAAGACTACTGTGCATGAACACATAGCTGAAAGACATAGGAAATGAGAGATATAGAGTGAAGTAAAATGTAAATCTTGATTGCAAGTGAGAAGTAATAAATCCATATTATAAAGTACAATGTACCATACTTCAGTGCAGTTTGTATTTTATTCTTTTATAACTTAACAATTAGAAAACTCCGGACTTGGACCAGACTTGAGCTATTCATGGAATACTTCCACTACGAGTGGTGGTAACTGCAACTACTAATTAGAACTAACGATTTCAGGCTACTTTCAATATATCAATTCTTATCTCTAATCTTACTTTCAGGTAGCTACAAATTGGTGGGTTATGATTGGTTCTAAGTATTTCCGTTAGATAGCGCCATATACAATTTCTGGAATTCCCCCACTCTCCACATCGGCTATGTTGGGTAAGTAGCGTCTTTGCCGCAGCACGCGCTGTTCTTTCCGAAACTCAGCGGCTGCGCAGACGGTATAGTTTAACTACCTCGTTCATTCCAGTGAGGCGGCATTTGAGGAAGCGATACACGTGGTCGTGTAATTTCGCTAATTTTTCGATATAATACATTTTGTATAATCCCTATCAAGGAATTAACAGTAAGTAATCCTTTTTTATTATAAATATTATCAACGTTATGCATTATTGCAAGGTGCAGTGTTATATTCTTTTTGCAAAAACGCTAAGCGTCATTTAACGGTACCACTAAACTTTCGCTTCTTTATTGTTGCTGTTTAATTGCATATTTCATTTTGTTCGTAACGAGTAATTATATCAATTATTGATAAATATTTATTTGGAAACATTTATCGTAACTCGTTTTTATCATAGTTACTTTACGGAGTTATGGTAGACAGCAACATGTTTGAGGTTACCTTACACGTGGTGCCAGTTCTTTTTTCGTATTTCCGTTGTTTGTGAATAGTTTTGTTATGTGAATTTGTTTTATACATTGGGAGTAAACGTAGATAACTATAAGAGTATAAAATGGATCATAAATAATTAGTAACATAGTTCTAGAGACATTTTTAAATAGTAAATTTGCTTAGAAGCAGAAGCATGCTTGTTGAGTTGTACGAATAAACTAAAGAATTAATTTTACTTCTTTTTCTATTTAACAGTAATGATAAACAAGGGCCAAAAAAAGAGGGTTCTGAGCGAGTCTGATGGTATTGGAAAGTCACAAAATTCCAATAAGAATGTTCAGCCATCAAAAAAGATTAAGAATATTAAACAAGAACCAGGAGTAGGTGCTGAAGTCGAGAAAAATGTAAAGAAAGTTGTAAAAAGTAAAACGGAAGGTGCAGTTCAGAATCAGTCTTTGCCTTTGAGTCAACAAACAGCAAAGAAAGCAAAAGAACCGAAGGGCAAAAAAATAGTTCTTGTAAATTCTAAGAAAGTAAATTTGAATTATAAGCTTATAAAAGAAGAAGCGAAAGAGGATAATAGTGTAGAAAAGCAGACGAAGAAGAGTATTAAACAAGAATTAAAGAAAGGACAAAAAGAGAAGGGTGGACAGAAGGTAGCCAATGGGAAGTTGTCTTTAGAAGAGAGAATAGCAGAAATAAAGAGTCGTGAAAATTTAACAAAATCATCGAAAAGAAAACTAAGTATTTTAAAGAAAAAACTTGCCATAGAAAAAGGAATTCCAATTCCCCAGCGTGAAGTAGTTCCTAAAAGTACGTCGGGTATGACAAAATCTCAGGCGCGAAAATTAAGGAGACAGAAGTCTCTTGAAAGACGTTCTCAGAATGACACTGGAAGTGATGCTACAATAAAATCAGAGAATGTAGTAAAACCTGTGAACATACAGAAATCGAAAAAAAAGGCGTCACAGCCAGGCGACGAATCAGCTGTGAAACAAACACAACATAAAAATGTGAAAACATTAGGCCCTGTTAAATCAGAGCCAATTCAGAAACAATTAGGTAAAGGTGCAACAAAGGTAGTACAAGAGAATAAGCAAAATGGCAAGAACAAAGTTGAAATTATGAAGCAAAGTAAAGGTGGAAATAAAAATCAATTAATAAAAAAAGGGTCTTTGCCTGGAATAAAGATTAAAGAGGAAAATGATGACTCTGAAGATGAAGATGAAGATGAAGATGAAGATGAAGATGAGGATGAGGATGAGGATGAGGATGAGGACGGTAATAACACATCGAACTCTTCTCTGAACACAAGTGACAATGACGATGATGAGGATGAAGAAGATGATGACGAGGAAGAGGAGGAGGAGGAGGAGGATGATGATGACGAAGATGATGAAGAAGTCCAATCAAAAGAATCACAAGCAAAAAAACCACGACAAGAGCAGTCGATCAAGAAGGCTGCTAACGCACAAAACCTGGACAGTCCAGAAAAGAAGAAAAGATATGTGCTCTTCGTAGGAAATTTACCCTACGAGTAAGAATCACTTGAACTTTAGAAAATTATCGTATTACAATAATTACAATAATAATTGTTTTTCTTCTTTCTACTAGCGTCACTACCGAGGATATCAAAAAGCATTTTCTGACAAAAGTCAGCGAAGTTATAAGTGTCAGAATTCCAACTAAACCTGGATCTAACACACCACGTGGAATTGGATACGTAGAAGTAACGAATGATAAAGATTACGAGGTAAGTAGTATTGCTTACTAATATTAAAAACTGCAAAAAGAATACGTAATAATGTTTTTTTTTTTTTTTTTTTTTTAAAAAATCTTTCTACTAGCGTCACTACCGAGGATATCAAAAAGCATTTTCTGACAAAAGTCAGCGAAGTTATAAGTGTCAGAATTCCAACTAAACCTGGATCTAACACACCACGTGGAATTGGATACGTAGAAGTAACGAATGATAAAGATTACGAGGTAAGTAGTATTGCTTACTAATATTAAAAACTGCAAAAAGAATACGTAATAATTTTTTTTTTTTTTTTTTTTTTATAGAAAGCACTGTCTTTCCACAATACCATTCTCAAAGGCCGCAGATTAAACGTGGAGTATACAAAAACCGGATCGAAGAATGTTCGCAACAACAGCGACGTCGTAGCGAAGAATAAAAAATTGCATGCACTTCGTAAGGCGGGTGTACTCGCGGGAAGTCAAAAGCATGATCAGAAGCGCAGCGTTCGCAGAGCAAAGCACATCAAGGCCAACTGAAATGTTGCTTAATTCTGTAAGATCCGAAAAAGCATGCGAGTGCAATTTAATTTTTGCATCAGTCACCTCTGTTAAATTGTATAATTACATGTAAAACAAATAGCACTGTATCTTTTATCTGTTAAGTGCGTTGACAAAGCGTAACACTGTCAGTATATTGGACGTTGAAAAAACAGGCACGGAAAATAAATAACCATAATGCGCCAAAACCCCAATTATTACGGTAATCATATTTTCCATTGATCCCACACGTATATACTTTTATCCTGTCAAAGGAAATATATAATTGCTAGTTTCATTTTATATTCGCAAAAAAATACACGCAAACAATAAACGTACCCCTGGTGGGACTCGAACCCACAATCCCCGGTTTAGGAGACCGATGCCTTATCCATTAGGCCACAGGGGCTGCTCATGGCCATCGAGTTAATATAATAATGAAAGAAATCATTAGAATTACTTAGCAACAATTAACAACTGGTGTTTATCAGCAATTATTTTTAACCATATTCATAACTGTCAAAAATTGCAATCGCGGATGGAACGCACATGAGGTCGGTTCTTCAGAGATAATATAACATAACAAGAGGTTATCCGGAACAATTAAATGAATGACTAGAAAATTATTAATAGAACTGTGTATAACTGAATATTAAAATGCCTCCTATTAAGACAGGGAATATCACTAAAAAGGAAAACGACCTTTTTGATATCGAAGACCATGTCAAGTACGAGGACTTGATTGAAGTACGAATAAACGCAGCTAATCAAATAATTCGTTATGTTTTAATCGAAGATATTTTAATTTAGGATAAATTACCAGACCATCTCATATTTCCAGAGCAATTAAATACATATTTGAGAGATCGTATACGTGTAAGTTCTGTTGCTGTTTGTTCTGACGTTAATTGATCAAACGATCAAGTATTGGTATCTCTAATGCAGGATCTGACAGCAGAAAATGGCTGCCTTCGTCGAGCTTTGGAGGAAGTGGAGGAGAAATTACAAAATTTACGAAAGTTATCGGCTCAAGATATTCCTGTCACTGTTGGAAGAGCTAGTGAGACGGCTGCAGCTAAGATAATAGAATTGAGTAAAAAGTGCAGAGAACAGACTGCAGAAATTGAAGTTTTAAAGACAAAATGCAAGTCACTCGAAGCGCGTGTGGCCAACAAGGAAGCAGAGCTTGAACATGAGAAAATGAAAAAGAAAGGAATGTCACAGAGAACCACAAGCGCTCTTAACGGTCTCTGGAAATTTTTGAATAATCGATTAAATTCAATGATCACGTAATTTTGTAATTTCTTTTATATAACAGAATCTATTAGCTTTGAAGATCAATTGAGAGACAGAGAAGAACAAATGAAACAGCTAAATGAGAAGCTTCAGCAAGTGAATGCTAAGCTTTACGAATCGAAAAATACGTGCACTTCCTTAAAACAGGAATTAAATAAAGCCCAAAAGGTAGGGATTGTGTTTATTACAAACAATAATATTTTAAGATCTAAAAAAGATGAATGTATTTTAAATATAAATTGAATGCTAGTTACTGTGTAGCGAAGTAGGTGAAAATGTTACTGTAACAGGATTAATTAATTATCCTGGGGGTTGGAGGGGGAGGGCCGAGCAAGTGCAACAATTGCAACAGAAGCTTACAGAGTTACAATGCAAACTCAGTGAATACGAAGGAACGTCAAAAGGATCGACAGGTATAATAAATAATTAAAAAATTTCTATTCCGGACAATAATCAAATTTTGTAGTATCAATCGAACAAAGGAACTTGGCTAATCTAAGGAATATGGAAAAGGAACGCAGACAGCAGATTGAAAATTCGGCAAAAGAATTGAGGCAGGCGGAAGTGGCTTTGGAGACAAGCAAACGGAAACAGGATGCAGCAAGGGCTAGAATAAAAGTTTTGGAAAATGAATTGAACACTGCAAAGCGGAGTATAATATTATTGAACGAGAAACGAAATCATGACGATCAATTGATCGAGGCCCTGAACGTGAATTAATTTTTGAATTTAATTCAATCATTACCTGGTGAAATATTTTCTTCTTTTTTCCCCAAATTAGAATCAGCTCAAAGCCATAGAGGGTCGATTTCAAGATCGAGAATCGCTATTACAAAAGCAATATGACAAATCTGAACAAGAATGCGTTAGATTGACTACCGAGATCAAAACAGTTCAATTAACTGTTGAACAGCTTCAACAAAGATTACAAGAACGCGAAGTGGAAATTGATTCACTGAAGTATGAATGGTTTAAGAAATTCAAATAAAAGAGATAGTAATTAATACGCTATAATATATTACAGAGGAAGTACTGGGTGTACAAATAAGAAATGGTCTCCTAAACAAAATCAAAATATATACGAAAGTCCTTTGAGTACATCGAGAAATCTTAAAGATCCAAACGAGTATGTTACACTGAGTATAGCGGCTGAGGCCGAGAGGGAAAGATTATTAGAATTAGTAATAATTCTAAACAGACGATTAGACAACGAAAGAGCCGAAACAGATCATTTATCCGTAACTATATGTAAAAAATAAAATACCCATAAAACTATGTTCAAAATACAAAATTTCCAGGAAACGCTGCGACAGGAGCGAAACAAGTGTGCAAAGCTCGAAACGAAAGTTCAAAAATTTGAAATGGAGAGAGTGGGTATGTCCAAAGTCAATACAGGATACAAAATAAGATCTAGCAAGATCGCCAAGGCATCGTCAAATGAAAATCAAAGTAACGAAGAAATGCGATTCAAGTACTGATTATTAATATAATTTTGATTATTTGGTATAAATTCAAATACAACACTTTTGCAACACTTCATTGAATCCTAGGTTAGAATTACTCCAGGAAGAATGTCTAGCATTAAAGGCAAGATTGGCCACGATACAGCAGGACAAAGCTGCTGATTTAATAACCTATAAACAAATGTTAGATCAGGCAAGAAAGACTTTCCAGGATGCTTATAGGTGAGTTGGACAAAAGATTTAATGAAAAGAATAAACGAAAAATGACGACTGTCATTCGTTCCATTTTATTCCAGAGAGAAACCATCGACGAGCGGATGTCATTCGACAATGACAATTTGACAAAGAAAATCATTTAGATGTCACAACAAGAGAACAAGAAGTTATGACACCAATGTTTTTCTTTTTACCGTAACCGTTCCTTTCATCTCGTCTATCGCTTTACTTTACTTTAACAAAAAAGATGTTGTAATTAAGAGATTCCACTGATGATATGCACCTTAGAACACATGCTTAACAGTGCGGTTAATTTTATATAACATGTTGACACAAACACTGTTTACACCTCGAGATAACTTATGCCCTCATTTGAATGCCGTAAATTCCTCTTGACAAGATTTAGGAAGACCAAGATTGTGAAACAATTGTTTGATTTACATCAACGACCAACAAGCACGTCTTTTGAGAAAGAGGATCACAAGAATTCATGCATGCACGTTAACACGTACTCGGTGGTAGACTGAGTGAAACATTATAAATTCCATTTAAAGCGACTTCCAACAGACAAAGAGTGTCGCTACAATAATTAATGGTATCGCAGACAAAAAAAAAAGAAGGGAATAAAAAATAATTCACATTCTTTTAAAAACGCGACGTGTTAACACTACACACAAAAAATGTTGAAAATTGTCTCAAATGCATTTCGACGTGAGGTTTACTTTTGATTAATAAATCATTTTTATGGGTTTTAGAAGAGCTCGATTCTTGAAGGTAACAATAAGCACGCAAAGAAATTGGTCGTCATTGATAGATCTGGCACGAACACTTTTGTACCTGTTGGTATAAGCTGTGGCTCACCATATATACCTTGGCTTCCAATAGACACAGATGAGAGAGTATAGCTGTGTGGGATGATAAGAAACATACCTGTGACGTCAGATCGCACAGGTATATGAGGCAACGCAGAGAGACGTCCACGTCACTTGTTCTTGCGCTTCCCGTTTGTTCGTTTTCACATCGCAACACTCTAACACGCCCAAAAAGAGTCGTCGACGTTGTCAGAGCGATTTTTATTTTTTGACGTCGTTTCGACAAGCCGAACGGTATTAGAAACTGGAGGGATCAACGATAAATTCGTGAGACGGATTCGTTACATTACCTGAAGAAGATTCGTTTATACCTTGGTGGCCTAATACTAGCGGCTGCGGGGTGAGTGAATTACTTAAGGGTGAGAAAGTGCAGTGGAGACAAATTTTGTTTTCTTTAATAATCTTTGTTCTTACTTAAGTAAAATCATGACTTATTAGATGGAGAATACTTAGAAAATTTTTGTTAAGATTTTTCGATTGATATTATTATTATTATTAAATATTAAAATACATGAAAATGGACATTAATTCGTTTTCGATTTTTATTATTCGGTCTCTCAAGCTCATACGTATGGATATCTGATTTAAGTATTGTCGAGGAATATTATATTTTGAAATTTTGAAATTTTTCTTTTTTTATAAACTATTTTATCTCGTAATAAAGGCGTGGAATTCACGTGATAATACCATTTACTATATCTATAGTATTCAGTTTCGATTTCACCTCGCTAATATGTTTTTCATGTGCAAATTCGAAGGATACGCCTTATGTGTTCAAAACAGGTACCCGATCGACGGTAGTATCTCATTATGTAATATTTACAGAATAAGTAGTTATTTTTGAGAATAATTCAAAATACCTGGCATACCACTAAGGCGTTTATGCATCCGTGATTAGAATCTTGATTAGCTCGAGATTGTAATAACGAAAATTCATTAACAATATAAATCTCAGCACAGTCATGCGAAAGATAAATTTCACTTTGGATGAAACCAAAAAATCAAGTGTTACGAAAGGCTCTTGCTTTTCGTTAGGGGAGAAGTACCTGTACCGAAATACTGTTATCAACGTGTTATCATATCGCGTTGGCTAGTTGATAATGAAATATCGTGGGCCCCTTTCGAAAATGATATTATATCCGATGTCGAATACTAAAGATATTGAGAGGCGATCGATTAACGGCTAATAAAAGTTATGAAAGAAGAATAAAAGAATTATATTACGTCGGGATAAAATTCAAAATCAATTAAAAGATATTAAAGCAATATAAAAAAACTTTTCTAAAAGGCAATAAAAAGTAAGAAGTTACTTATACACGTTGATCGAATCGAATATAACTGATAAATAAATTTTTTAAGTATCCAATGCTGAATGTCTATCAGTTAGCAAAATGACGACCCAAATATTGCGAACGTATTTCCATGATTCAATTTAATTTTGTCACGCTATCATCGTCTTGTTACTTATATATATTTTTAAAACTTTTAACAGCATTTCGTCTGCGCCTTTCACAACCATTTCTAATATTTCTTATCGATACAGAAAAACGACGTTCGCTTATCAGTACAATTACACAGCGCAATTCTATTATTCCTCTTTTTTTCCATTACTTTTTCTTTTATCATCCAATAATATCGACAAAGATGATGGCAAGGCAAAGCATCGAAGGAGGATCACTCATTATGAAAAAAAAAGAAAAATGTAATTGTAAAAATTTTTTAATTCAATGATCCAATCTACAAAATCTGATATGCAACCTTTTTAACTCGTGGAAATATTATAAGCATTAAAATTTCAACTTCATCCGGTTGGCTGCTCATTAAAAATCTTCCATCTTGTCCCAGAAGACATTCGGCTGTTTAAGCAGTTGCTGGTAACAGGTGAAAATATCAACTGAATAAACAAACCTAGTCTGCCGGTAGAAAAGTCATATAGTCTCTTCAGTTTGTACAGATATTAGAAGCGGTCTGATAATAGAACGTAATTGAACGAATGTAACGACCTTTTTCGATCTTACGTAAAGCTCTAAACGAGATGCTGCTTGGTATATCCATTGGAAATGAAAAATTGCACCTAAAACATACAGCAGTACCAGAAATTTGACAAAAAAAAATATTTAAAAAATAGAGACAAAAATACTGGTTTTTTCATCTCTCGCCATTGCTTTTTTGAAAAATAACGCAAATTCATGTTCAACCTTTACCTTTTCTCAATGTACTGCTTTTTACCCGGTTACGGAAAGCCAACGTGCTCCGGTACGTGCTAATGATCTTGGGCACGAGCTAACACGTGTTCCTTGTAAGTTAGGTTATGTTTGCCGCGCAATCAGGTGGCTGCTAAACAGAGAAGACAGCTCGCACCATCCCGATAACGAGTAAGACCAGCGAGCTGCTGGTTTCCTTTCATAATTTAAGAAAAATCATATATTTTTCAGTGCATATCAGACTGCTATGTCAGATGCACAAAAGGTGCAGTCTGGTTTCTTTTTTTTAAGGTATTTTAACTCTTTTTTTTTAACATAGAGGCAACGAATTTCAGCAAAGAATCAGCAAAGTTTGAAAAAAGGCGAGCGCTACGAAGAGAGCTATCCATCGACAGTATGGTAATGATTGACACTGTCATGGAGTTGCTCTCTTTGTGGACGCCGCTTAATACAACGGCTTTAAAAATATGTGAAAAGAAAGAGATCCCGCTACCGTGACATAATTAATTAATATCGTATCAATAATCAATATATACTCTTTAGGTATACTTGGATTATTGTTATATTCGTCGTTCAACCTCCAGCCATAACATTTTCTACGGATATATAGTACCATCGTACAATATAAGGTCGATGACCTCCTGGTTGATTAGAACCCTGCAACCGACAATATCGAGTCTGTATTCTTGGACATTATTATGCACGTACACGGAACACGTATGGAACGATACACATTACGTGCACCATGGACACTAAATGCCATAAAAACATGAAGGTGTAAGAGGTTGATTCTGCAAGGTATATACATACAGTATGGAAACTTAGCATATACTAGGTATATGCATATATATTATATGTGTATATAGATTACCTATGCCAGAGCACGTTTCTTGGACCCTTTCTCTGTCTTTTATTCTAGTTCTCTTTATTTGACTTCATGTTACCATGCCGGTGCGCTTCTAACGTTTCCAGCTTAGTCTATAAGACGTGAGTTTATCGTGCGTACCACCCACAGGTTAGGTATCGTAAAGTAGATCTTGTAAAAAGAATTTATGAAATTATTAAAGTATATACATTTTGTGATTGTACCTTAATTCGGTCGTGGAAATAATAGGAGATATCTTTACGCATATATAATTGCTAAGATGTCTTTCTACATTATGTATACGCATAAGGATTGCGTAGTAGGTGTAATTAAATGAAATCTGAATTTATGAGGTAGACTTGTTAAACAGAGAAAAAGTTAACGTACATGGTGGCTTCCTCAGTTCGGTGCCGCCGGCACCAGACAGCAAATAATACCGAGAGATATCAAGACGTGATAACGATAGCCCAACACAATAAAAAGCAAGATGGCGCTTGGTAAAAGATGGCGATGTTACCCATATCGCAAACAGCTCCTCTTAATTATCACGATAACAATAGGTTTACTGGAAATGTTAATTGCACTAAAACAAGCATATATTATTGATCTGGCGTCGTGATGGAATTAGTCCACGTTCTTCTTTATAGAATTAAATAAATTTTATATGTCGATCGCTATTGATGTACTTGTGATTTGAATTTGATGAAATAAATCGATTGTGCTTGAAAAATATTAGCATTGCGTAACTTGCACTTATATTCATGATTCTTATACAGTTTAGTATTATATTCACAGCTGTTCTGCGATGGCGTAATATTACCTAATTATCCCAATCTTCCTCAACTTCCCTCAAGATGCTAATGTCTTCTTTTCTTCTTTTGCTTCCTTCTCCTCCTCAATTCTCTTCTAAGCCTGTTTTGATAAAGGAGGTCTTACGGCAAGTTTCTTTTGATCCCGGACACGTGCAAGAGGCAGGCATCTCAAACGAAAATATTCTTTTGTCTTAACACTCGCTTGTGACGACATGCCCGTTCTATTTGTCACGGAAACAAATGGGACGCAGTAAATTATTTTATAAGTGGCTGAACGGCACATGAGACTAACGTAAATATTCTACAGGTATGTATGTACGTAGGTATATATACATATATATATGCATATGCAGCTTAGTTAATTGTACTAGGATGCTTGACGTCGCCTCTTCAATGAATTAACGGCTTTGCGGTTTACGTCAAAAGTAAATGGTTATTTTTAAAACATTTATATAAATCATGATGAAATGGGAAATTCAGTTTCTCAACAGTTTTACATTTATGGGCTGCGTTTGATGTTTTGATGTATTTCAATGAAAGATTGTGATAACACTATGCACGTAGAATTATTAGGGAGTTCGAATGATATTAATAAACAGGAAGAAAGATGAAATATAAGAAAAGTTAAAAGAGGTCTCATATCAGGTATTTTTGTAATGTTTCATATTGTTATGTGAAGAAAATTCTGGATTATAAATTATGTAATTATTAGAGTGTTCTCTAGAATGAGTTCTGGATTTAGGGGATCGTATGTACTTAAAAAATACAGAATACCATGTGGGTGGTAATTAGAAGTGGTTTTTTTTTTATTAATAACAGTTTTTCAATTAAAATTTCAACTTTATAACTTATGATGAGACCTTTGTCAATGTGTCAGCATATTGAAATTCTGGACTATTTTCATAATCGCACATGTCCAATGCTATGACACAACTCTCACGAACGACACGTTTGTTGTCTTCAAGGTATCTGTTTAAGATACTCATACAATCTGGTGTTGCAATTGCACCCAAAGCTTCAGCACATTCATGGCGAACCATTTCGTTTTCCTCAGGATCTTCTAGGGAGTCACGTAGGTATGGTACAGATACTTCTTCTTGCATTTGTCCGAGTACAAACGCAATTTCATGCCTAAATAAGGCACTGCCAGCCTTTAAGCCTATTTAAGAGAATGCGGAATATTATCAGATACAAACTTTGCTATCAAAATATTGACAAAATAACTATGCCTTAATGTAAATAAATAGCAATAAGGATATGAGTATTTGAGTTATAAACAAAAAATTAAGTTGGAATACCTGCTCCGAGAGCATCTATACTCTCCTTTGTATTCAAATTTCTCAAGGAGAACATTGCTCTGTATCTATCAAACAATGATGCATTCTCATCCAACAAACTTTTCTTCAGAATCTCTACATTCTTAGATTCTGCTGGTGGTGCTGGATCCACTGAAGCATAGGGACTCTTTATCAAACCTTCTGAAGTATTATGTAAATCAGCAAGCCATTTTAATCTGTCTAAAGCCAATTGACATGTTTCAGCAACTTCGATTACTGAATCTTTAGTGTATGTCTCAAGAATTGGAATTGCAGTAGGATCTCCAATAGCACCTAATGCTTCACCTGTTTCAGAACAATATAAAATATACTATATTAATATTGTAAGATATAACGCAATTTGAGAATACTTCCTCTTACCAGCTTCATGTCGCACCATAGGTTCTTGGGAGGTGTTCTTAAGAATATCAATAAGAACAGGTATTGCTTGTACATCCTGCATTTGCCCAAGGCAATATGCAAGCTCATGTTTCAATAATGCTGACGAATCATTGAAACAATTTTTTATCTGTTCAATTGCGAATGGTCCTCCAATATTCTTTAAAGTAAATAAAGCTCGGAATCTTTCTTTTAAAGGTCTGTTCTTATCATTTAAGACATGCCCTATAGCAATGACTTTATCTTCGTTAATATCCAGCATATTTTTATAACTTTTTATATTTCTTATTATTAATAAAACAGTTTTACGGATATCATACAGAATATATCAAAAGTTTTTATCCAGTCTGCATAGGTTAACTCACTCTCACAATCCTTAATGACAGATATGTAATACTTTTTTTCTGAAACAGGTGCAACTCAACATTTTATCAAAGGCTTGCGAACTTTTATTTCACTTTCTAAATATGTATATTTATAGACAATAATTAACGCATACACTTTACAGTCATTTGTCTTCTGACCATGCTCATAATCAGTACCCTCTCTTACCTTCACTGCTGTACATCCGACTCTCTTTTCCGTTAATTCACTGGAATTTCTAATAGAACAAACCCGGTAAAATGGCACAAAGTAGATTGGAAAGAATCGGGACGGTTTACTCAAGGTACATAGATAATATAAAAGTGATATATTTGATTGTTTTATGTCTTTTCATAATAACAGATATTCTTAGTATTTTATTACAGCAACAAGAAATAGGTTAAGTTGCCGATATAATGTTTCAGAATATCGTCCTTATTGAAAGGTGGTGCATTGAAAGATATTGATAAACCTGTGTGGTACACAGTGTATGAAGCATTTCCACCAAAGTATGAACCACGCTTTGATAGAGAAGCTCCAAAAACAAAGTATTTTGACATTTTCTATAAAGAGGACTATCTAAGAATGTAAGGAGAACCCATACCAGTTTTACTTTGAAAAAACTACTATTAATATCGAGTTTAGATTAATTATTAATATATTACATTTAGGGAATTTCAAGAAAGAAATAAGAACTTATCTACTAACCTGATGGATACACGACGTAAGTCTAGGACTCAGGAATTTATTTCTATATACCACGATATGAAAAAGGTTTGAAAAATTTAGTTTTCATATTTACACTTAAATGATAATAACAATCGACATACCACCAATATACTATATTACTATTCCTATTACCAGAACGGTGTTCACCAGGATGTATGTTTCCAAAAGAGCTTGGACAAATTGCTTGAACAACGTCCTACTTCAACAAATAGATCGCAAGATACATCATCAAAATCATCTATAACAAGCAGCTTCAGCCAAGAAAAAAATGAAAAAATAAATATTAATATTAAGGACATTTTAAATAATTGAACTATAATTATTATAATTAAATGTAGATATTCTGTATTATTTGTCAATTTAACATAATCAAGTCAAGAATTACCAGTAATCCCAAAAGAAGGCGCATTTTGCTTTAGCCGAGAAAGACGGTTTGAACCACATTTTTTAATTGTTTTATACCGTGTCCCATGTATATTCGCGTGCTGATCACGAACCTGATGTTAGTTTTGTGATAGTGAAATTAAAATTGGTCGATAACTAAAAATTATGGCCAGTCGAACACATGGAATAATCAAGAAATACCAGCGATCTCAAATTAAGGCCTATTTCGCTCCTCTAACAGGAGCTACTTCTTCATGAGTGCATTGATTTTCCACTCTATTGGGTCAATTGTCATCTGCAATCAATATAATCAAATTCAATATAATATTCAATTATAATATAAAATGCGTTCCACGTTCTAGCTGTATGGTATCTTAGTAAGTAGGTAAGTACTTTTCCTGTTGAAATGTACTCCTTATCTCTGTTAATACTGAATCGAGTTAGGATGGAGTCGCGTCTAAATGCAGCCTCCTACTTGCAACCTCCTACTAGCGGAATTTGAATAAAGAACTGATTCATTAGATGAAAAGCGTCTCGCTGATGAGCAGTTTTCCACTAAGAAGCTCATGATCATTGGTGGACTTGACTATCACAAACAACGCACTATCTCGGAGATGTTATAACTATATAATATGCACTGTTTGGTATGGTATTGAAAAGTTTAAAATTATATCAACATAATTTAACAGTAATGTTTATAATTATTTGGCGAAACTAAATCAAAATCTGGATTAATGTTTATCAGAATCTGTACATCTGTGCAAAGCAACTGTTGCCCGAAGCTTTATATTATTTTTTATTCTCTTATGTAGATATCTGTATAAAAGTATGTATACTGAAAAATCGAAAAAGTAATTTTTTAAAGAAATTACTGGATGACAGAGGAGGTATACTTCTTGAGTCATTATTAAAACTCTTTATTTGCCTTGCATTTCCACACATTTGACACGCGACATTTGAATTTATATTTGTTCATTTTGGTTACGTTCAGTGATGCTTAATATTTCTCGTGAACGTATCCCCAGTACAATCTAGGGATAAGTACCGTATATGTGAATCGTTTTTAAAAAGTGATTGGTCTTGATTTCGTCGGTTGGTAGAACGCAAATAAAATGACATATCATTCGATCATTTGTTTGGTACGGTGAAATCACATACTATTAGATATCAGTAGTAACCGTAGTAACACGATTCATATCCTTATTTGGAAATTTAGGTCTTGTAGAGAAAAAAATAGTGCAACCATGGTTCGCGTGATAAATCAAGAAACATACAACGAAGTTGTCAAAGAAAATATAGAAGAATTTTCGATGACTCCTGAAGAAGCGATCGACGATGCGATTAAACAATTTGAGGCTCAGGTACAATGAAAATAAATTGAAGAGAGATCAATGAAAAATGTTATGCTTATAGAATTTATTCATTGTTATTGCTTTTTAAAGACATTATAAATGATATTGTTATGTATTTCCTTAATTTATCTTTTATTAGAACAGTTAACAATCGTTTTATTCTAAAGGAATCAAAGATAAGATTTATTTCATTGACTTCATTAATTATTATAAACATTTATTCTATGGTGTACAAATGAATGGTGTTAATAATTAGTTTAAGTGTATCAAAAATGAATAAAATGTATGCCTTTTAGGGCGTCGACTTGAGCAATGTCATCAAGGATCTAATCTTGTGTGACGATAGAGATCTGGTGAAGACGTGCCTGGATAACTTGAGGTCCTCCATAGAGGAAAAGAATTCGGAAATTGTTCCGGAAGTATTAGAAAAACTGAAGACTGAATTAGATAAAGACATAGCACGCAGAATTCATGCCAGTAACTTGGGAGGCTATAAGATTTTATTAGATTTGATAAAGGAATTTAAGGATGACGTTACTGTGGTCAGACCTGCACTAAGGACGATGACTTCACTGATGACAGGTCATCCTGATTTATTAGACGAGGCAGGAGTTACTCTACAGATGGAGTGAATACTTATTACATTATTCTTTTTATCTAGTCTATACTTACTAAGTGTTTCCTTTAAGATTCATATTCTAAATATTAATGATTTGTATGTTACAGAATTTTAGACAAACAACACGATGTTCCGACTCTACAACTCCTGTTACGTTGGATGAGAGAATGTTGCATCAAACACGAATTGAATAGACAGACCATTTTCAATGCCAATGCTCTGGAAAAAATAAAAAGAATACTTATGCGTGAGGATGCCACTGGACAGGAACTGAGAGATGCTTGTGCTGTATGTAGAGCACTTGTATTAGACGACGATATAAGGCATGAATATGGAAAGGCATATGAGCATGCAACTGCCATTGCTAGAGACACTTTAGATGTCATTACAAGTTTATTATCAAGTAATAATTTTATTTGTAGTATCAGAAAAATAGTCATCTCTTATCTGCACCATATATTTAATTAATTTTATCATTTGGTTAAAGGGTTCAAGACAGACAGAGCTGTCGTTGGCGATCTAATGTTAACATTAGCCAGTCTGATAGTCAGAAATGAATTTTGCCAGAGCGTGGAAGATGCTGGTGGTCTAAAATTTATACTTGATGTAATGGTCGATCATCCTGATACAGAAAAACTGAATTGGCAGGCATTAAAGTTACTGAAGGCGCTTGCCGGAAATGATTATGTTAAATCTCACATTGTCACTTCCGGTGGAGCACCTCTAATAGTTTCTGTAATAAGCAGATTTAAAGTAAGTTGAAAAAGCAAATTGACAATAATCAAAGAATTGTAGAAACAGTAAAATATGATCTACTTAAATATTATTTGTAATATTAATAATTATTATGTCTGTTACAGGGTTCAGAAACTGTGGTTAGTTCTGGTCTTGCCTGTATTTCTGCATTGACTTTGAGAAGTCCTTCAAATGCTGGTGTATTTTATGACTGCGGAGCATCAACAGTTATCATCGATTCCATAAAAACTTATCCTAAGAGTATTAACGTTCTGAAGCAAGCTTGTTGGGCAATAAGAAATATGTCAGTTAGAAATAATATGGAGTCACAGGAATTTGTTCAACAAGGTGTTGAGGAGCTACTGATCAATGCTATGAAGACACATGGTCTAGAATTAGAAAATGATGTGAAGGCAGCTTTAAGAGATTTGGGTTTAAAAGTGGATCTGAAAGAGAGGTGGGTTGGTAAAGGAATAGCATTGAGCAACGATAGAAATTAATCATTCCTAATTATTAAAACCTCGTCAATCTAATGACAACATGGCTCAGCGGTTGTTGAAACGATAGACTGCCAAATGATTTTCACTGAATCTTTACAAATAACATTTTTAAAAGACCATATGTAATTAATTGATACGAAAAATGTTACGCCCTTTCGGATGAGTCACTATCTTGAGAATCTGTGGTAGATATAAGAAAATAACAAACTTGCCCTAACATTTATAAGATTTACAAAGTAAGCTATTGACAAGCGAAATTTGTAATAATCCTTTATACATTATTGCTCTATTTAAATTTTATAAGTAGCTAATCGATGGCTACACTTCTATTGTTTATATAATGATTCCATGTATATAATATATCGAATAAATATTAATACCTATCGATGCACTAATAACTCATGACTGTTCCTATAATCAGTGTGTGGCTTCGCAATACTCTTCGTAAACTTACCCAAAGTCTGTCTGTAAAAGCATAAATGGGTAACGATAAAAAAAAACAATGCCAGATTTCAATTCAAATTATATGAAGTTCACATATAAAAACACAATTAAGTATAGGCAGTCCAGCGTAAGTATGTGGAACAATACAGGTGTGAATCACTCGTAATATAATATCTCCGTTTACACAGGAAAGATTGTAATGCAATTTTTCATATCCTATGCTTACAATCATATTTGACTATTATTGATATAATAATATAACGTATACACCACGCGCACGTGGAAGAGCATTTTATTTTTCTACAATACAAGTACCTAAGAGCCTCTCCACAGCGCGCAAATGGTCCTGGCAGTAATAAAGTGAGTAATAAAGGCAAAGCTGTCTTTGGCCGTGCGCCTTGAGTTTCATTTTGTCATGAGGCCGATTCGAATCGTGGGACCATTTCTTTCCGCACGTCCCATCAGGCGCGATAGCGGGAAACAAAGATCGGCTTATCAACGAGTTGGGCTAAATTTTTGAAACATCACGTTCTAATGTATTGCGATCTGATCCGCTCAATGAGAATTGACTTTCTAAATGATTCGACACGGCGTAACGCCCAAACAGAATAGCGTCGTTGCAGCATCGCATTACTACACTTTCGAGAATAGTCACCGTACAACAACCTTTTATACTGTACTTCTCTTAACGCCTCCATAAGTCGCAAGTACATGCGTACCTTATTCTCTACGTGGTCCAGCAATCTCGACAGTTGGATTCCATCATGAACCCTCAGAGTCTCATGAGAAATGATTCTCGAGAAGAGCTAATCACGACATCCACAACACGAGTGCTTGTAATACTTGATTCTGCATAATCCAACTTTTACCACTAAATTGCAGTTGGGGTATTTGTCAATACAATGGTCGTTAGGTTTGTCCTTAGGCACTGGAATAAGAAAAAATAATGAAATTGTTGTCATTACGCACGAAGGAGTCAACGGTATAGTTAATTGTTCATATTTTCATTGTATGATGATTAAAGGAGAACTTGAAGAATGATAGTTATTTACTTTTTGATAGCTCATCCACGGGGATTTCATCTTTTTTAATACAAGGGTCCGTATTGCACACGCGTTTTCCAATTGGTTCATCTACTTCTGAACACCCGGAAGCGGTTACGCCTTCGTAGATGCAACGCACTAGACGTTCCTGCACTCCGGTACCACATGTTTGTGAACACTGAAAGAATATAGTGGTGAAAAATTAATTGTAAATTCAAAATGGAGAATATGGGTTATTATTGCTGACTTTTATTGTAATTGTTTACCTTGGACCAGTGCGATGTGAACCATTTTGCAGAACATGCTGGCATTCGACATGTTTGTTCAGTTGTGGGTTTATTATCGAAAGAGTTACAATTGACTTCTGGTAATACTTGAAAATTATTGTCCATCTTGGCAATGCACAAGGTACGACGATATTGCATTCCCGAACCGCAGGATACGGTACACTAAAAATAGTTGAATAAAATTGACATATTCATTGCATACTTCCAATTAATAAATGTCGATTACATTAAATACTAACGGAGGACCATGGACCAGTATACCAAACTGGTTTGTCACAATTAGTATTATTTCCTAAGCAGCTTTCCTCCATAACAGGTTTATCATTCGGATTACAAAAAAGTTCACTTCCGTCAGCACAAGCCACTTGCCTTTTTCGAACGCCAGATCCACACTCCGCAGAGCACTGAAATCACAATATTCTATATCTTTGTAAAATTCCTTCCACTTTTCACAGCCCCGATACTCACTTCTTGTGACCATTCGGAAAATAGCCAAGGAGCATGTCCTTTAGAATTGGTATGGCAAGGAGCACTTTCACAATGTTTCTCAACTTCCGGTTTGGTGGAGAATGAACAAGGATCATTTGAAGTTATGCAAGTAACAGTACGTCTTTTAAAGCCACGACCGCAAGTAGCGGAGCACTGAATAATATTTGAGAAATTTTAATTGATATAAAAATAATTAATTCCAAGTAATTTGAACTTTCACTGACTTACAGGACCCCACGTGCCGACGTCCCACCTGGGTCTGTCATGTTGTACAGTCATTTGTTTTAATTCTGGATTTGAATTAGAACATGCCGCTCGTCTGCAGGTTTGCGTAGTCCTTAAATCGGGTGGCTGTGCACAGGCACCAGCTGCGACGCGCATCGTTAATTTCGAATTTAATTCCTGAACGCATTCCAGTTGACGAGTTTGTATCCCAACGCCGCAGCTTACTGAACACTCGCTCCAAGCACTTGCTTTCCATCTAAAATCAGTGATGACTATCAACATCCCCCAATGAAAAAAAATCCGGTCCACAAGACAGACAATGATTTGACATAGAAGATCTCACGGTTAGATTCGATTATAGATTTTTTTTTCATTAACACAGTCTGCATATTGATAATATTAATTTTTCTTTTACCTAGCCGGACATGGTCGATCATTGCATTTCAATGGAGGTGGAACTGGCGGCTTCTGAATATTGCGACATCTCCTCTCATTAGCGACCATACGATTTTTCTCTCGAATGCATTTAAAAATTGCGTTTTGCACACCTACAAGGAATATCCTAATATCTTATTATTGATACAAATATTCGGGATCCTTTTATCATGACTAACAAATAACGACACAAATGTATCATGTAAAAACTTATAACAATTTTTTTATGCTGTAACTTCGATCTTACCTCCACCACAAGTTTTAGAGCACGTCGACAAACCAACGACTTGCCATGAGAATTTTTTCTTCTTTTTCCCACCAGTCTCAGTCACATTAGGCTGATCACCAGCCATTATAGTTGTCGGCGGATGTCGCATTTCTTCCTTCCGTTTTCTCTCTCGAGATTCCTTCTGGCTGTAATTCGAATTCGGGACAGAGGAATGCGACTCGTGACCGAATCTAAAATCAAAACCCACAATCAAATTTGTAGCAAGATGTTGAATGTAAAAATACGAAAATTGCCGCTCTCCTACAGTCCACCAAATATTTGCGTATTCGAATATAAAATAATACTTACATTCTTGGTATTGGAGCTGGCATGGCACGGTTACTCGAATCAGGAATCTCGTTACTGGGATCGTTTGGCCCTGAAATATTTCGATCTCGTTAATCCAGTTTCCACCAGAAAATTACCAGGCTACGTACAACCGGTCGGCGATTCCTGTAGATGCTTCGCGAATATAATTCTACGTGCAATTATCCGCGAATAGCTGCATGCAATGGATCATTCTGTACCTAACGCTACCAAGGAAGCTGTATTAAAATATACCTGGGGCAAGAAGTGGTGGCGCTATCATTGCATTGTTATCCGCAGTCTCATTCAATGGTACCACATACTTGTAAATAATTCCTGGATTATATTCTTGATAAAAGATCTATAAAAGCGTATAACAGATAACAATTAAAACAACAATACGTATTATCAAAAACTCTACACTCTTGCTCTCTCTCTCTCTCTCTCTCTCTCTCTCTCTCTCTCTCTCTCTCTCTTACTACATACTCACCTCGAGTTCCAATGGTTCCGCCAAGGGACCAGTAGCAAAAATGTTCTCCATTCTGGTACCATCGCCCCTTTGATATGAAAACATGGTACCACTAATTTTGTAGCTACCACTAGGACTGAGAGACCACGGTCCATTTAGCATGTAACTGCCATTCAGATCTCTCAAAGCTGTCAAGATAAATTTCTCATTAGTGCACGATGACACCAGGGCGCGTTATTCAAAGCCGGAAACGTCTTTCCGTAGAGTCGGTAGCTTTGAGGAATTCTCAGTGATAAAACCAGAGTGATATTTTTGGCTGCCGCCCTTGAGGATTCGTTTATCGAGCATGAAGACGCGCTTGCTCGTGGATAAATCTTTAAAGAAATAATATACACGAAGTGCAAAAATTAGATGCAGGACATGATATTCGGTCATGGGGACGTCGACGTGCCTATATGCTTCATGGATAAATAGAAAGTTCGTACCACGTTGGCGTATCGATATTTCGAGCCGCAAACATCACAGTAAAAATACACGCGCCTCGTAAAGGCCCAGTTAATTACCAGTTGTTGTCTGAACACGTAACCGATGTTAATAGCCATCAGATTCGTCATCGAATTGCTACCGTTATACGACTCAGATAACGTATGGGAACAAAGAGCACTCACCGTCGATTCGAACCACAGTATAATATGTAAGAATTCTATATACACTATATACCGCAAGATATTGAATTAACGAAGAGGAATGAAATACCATGGATAAATATTTAAACTAGAGATCACGGCTTCTGGCGAATTTCTCAATGCTTGTTTAGAAAAACATTAGGGGCCGATTTCAGGCGAACAAGGAGGTCAGTTTTAAATCCAAAGTAGCCCACAAACGCTTTTTGTTCCTGATGCTCATGAAATTGATATAATTAGGATTCACTGTGGTTACTTCGTTGTCGATTAGAATGCCGTTTCAATAATTAATTGACGGCCGATGAATCTCACCTAGAAAATTGGCCGTGTGTCGTAACTCAGATATATTCAAGGACATGGCGCCTTTCGGTATGGTTGTTACGGGCTGGTGTCCTCTTGGAAGTATGGGCTCCATAAAAATGCCCTCGAAGAGTCTACAGCCTCTGCCTTCGCCACCGCAGACGCCACAGGCGTCGACTTTTACGCCAGAACCGACGACTCCGTCGCAGCCCACTGACTACGTAATAACAAGTGAACGAGGTATGGTTTGTATTAAATCACTCATAGGAATGGAACCGTAAAGACCTTATGGATAATTTCTATAAATTCTCAAGACCCCTTTCATAAAGAATGAATAATCGTTATCTTGGCATTACATAATTGATATATTAAGCTAAAAGATTTCAACGTACCTTACACTGTCCAGCTACGCATAGCCAGCGTTCGCCGCTCTCTGAGGATAGTCCAGGTCGTTGTCCATGACGATAAGGAGCATTGCACGGTGTCCCATCGATAACAACTGGTTCTAATGTAGCGTAAAATCGTTCGCCAATAGCGCGACAATTGAGGGCACATGTGTTCGGCGCTGAAAGATAATTTTGAAGTATATTATAACTCTCTCTGTATAACGATATACCGATTAGCTTATATTGACTTATTAGCTTATATTAGCTTATAATTATCATTAAGATGATACTCACCGTCCGGAAACGGCATCCAGAGATAATTCTGTCCTTTGTAAATGCGTCCATTGTATTTAGCGCATTGTTCCGCACGAAAATCATCTGGATAGTTTGGACAATCCTGTATATGGATAAAACATAAAAAGCAATAAATATAAAAATTATTTTTTAAATCAATAAAATAGTTAATTTTCTTTTTTAACGCTTTAACCACGTATCTCGTAAAAGTCATCCAGGAATTAACACGACTAATAATTTCTATCACATAAATACACACTGTACTGTCTGTTACGTAATTTTAGTACAGAGTGTATAAAATATCACTAGCAGGTACATTATAATCTGGATAACCCTATATAGGTACAAGCTATAAGAATGATAATTCGTAGCACGAATGGCAAACTCGTGCGAATCGATTCTAATCAGCCAGCACGAGCGACTGTACCGATAACACACGTGTATCACAGACAAGGTCTTTCAGCGCTGCAGGTGGTGAGTCCTCTTATGCATTCGAAGTTATCGCCAAGTCATGGAGTCTGAGCACGAGATATGAATCCTACCCAAGTACGTTATCCTAATTGGCAAGTACGTATAATTTTCATAAACAAAAAAGCAAGCCTATGCCCAGTTTGATAAAACCAAAGAAAAATAACATCAAAACTGTTATCTCAATGTACCTGAGTATTGCAGACATGATAACGCTTATAGGTCCCAATGCACATAGGTTTGGCATGCATTGTATTTTCATGATGAACTGTACTCCTCTTCCTTAAGGAGCTGCTGGAACATAAGATTGATAACGCTATAACTGATAACACAAGTATACGAAAAGTCACAAGCCGCATGATGAATGATCAAACGGTATATGAATACTCTATATATTAAAAGATATACACTAAAAGTTATCGTGACAAGGTCTCTATGAACTTTGTGAACCGATAACGACTCTTCGGTATCTTGTAAAGTGTAAAATAATTGGCATAACGAAAGGTGCAAGGTTCGAAATGTCAAGAATCGTATAATGCACGATACGTGAGTTATCACGGGTATAAGAGCATACTGAGGTGGTAGTGTAATTTAAGATTAATAGTAGATAATCCTCAGAACCGCAAGGTACGGATAGGATGGTACAGCATTGCTACCATCTTAGAAAGCCTCGAAGAATCTACGTATAATTTCGGTGAACCGAACGGTTACGACTGCTGCGATAATATCCAAAGTGCATCGAGCGCGTTAGCTCCCATAAGGGCACCAAGTCCCTCGACGATTTCCTCGTAACGTGCGCCCTTTAATTCGATTAACGTTACGTCGATAACAACGCGGAAGCGTGCACGTGAAAGCCTGATAGAAGAATAATAGCAGGTTAAATCTTATCGCGGCTTACTTATTATTTCCATCGTTGTACTTACACACAGGCCGCATTAAAATCATTCGTAATCGATGACTCTCTCGATGACTTACCGCATAGGCAGGCATTCCCGTGCCTGCGATTGGATCCCAGTGCCACAGGATCTCGAGCATTCGCTCCAAGAGCTCCATGGACCCCAGCTTCCTTTAATACGATTATCACGACCATAACTGAGTTGCGTTTTCTCTTGCAGCATGTGGTAGACCTGTCGAATAAAAATAATAATTATTAAATTGAAATTGATTCTTCATATGATCGATACTCCTTACCTTGAAATTTTTCAATCGTTCATCTCAGGCTTTATCGGGGATGCAATTAAGTCACTGGAGTATTTTACGTGTCCCGGAAATTCCTCGGATATGATTTTTCTCTCAATTCCCTCTCGTATCTTAGAGACCGAGCAACGGGTATCGCGGATAGAAAATTAAATGGAATTGAAGGTAATTAAAGGGCAGGACTTTCTCGGTGGTATTCCTCTTCGTAATTGCATCCACCGATAGAAGAAATATCTTGCGGGCATTAACTATTTACTCGACAATTAGCGTTTGTTACTCACGTAAACGAGACCGTAATTAGCCCCTATGCCATTGGATATCACGAGGAATTAGTCCGTGTCATGATTAATTACTCGACGGATTCATTACTCAATCGTGACTTCCAGTGTCAAAGTTTACAAGACGTTTCTACGCGTTACTATAGTGACATACAGGCATAATATATATATATATATTTGTTGTTAATTAAAAGCCAATTAAAAATTATATTAAATTCAAAAAAATATATATCGTACATAGTACCACAACTGTATGACTATTAAAGAAAAAAAAATTTTACAATATTCTGCTATCCACGACTGGCATTAATTAGGCAACTGATTAAAAGAAGATCGACGTAACTCAGTCACGGCAAGTCGACAACAAGTCACGAAAAATAAATCTCGACAAGATACACGTACAATACATCGTTACAGAAGAGCCAGGCCGAATAACGCAAGCGAAAGAAAATTCACTGACATAATATCAAACTGGCGCATAGTAATTCATTGAGAGCACCATTTCCATCATTTCATTCATAAATACATAAATAGTGTTTAGCGTGTCTGGACTGTACGAACAAATATGATAAAGAATGACATAGAAAATGTTCCGTGATCCTCGAGATGCACTCAGCATTAAAACTGCATTCAGCCTCCAGAGATTATCGACGAGCCGCGACTAATTCTCAGCAGAAAAGTGCATTCGATGCACCCAAAATGATTTCCATTGAGAGAGGGAATAAGTAAAGAAAACAAAAAATCCTCAAATCACGGGAGACATCACGTAACGCTTTACGGATATAGAAATAAATAAGAAAGAACGACCCTCGTAAAATCCAAGATGCACTTATGCAGCGATGCAATTCGGAGCCATAGAAATCACGCGTAACATCTCGTAGCGGCAGTATAAATGTAGATTAAAACGTGCGATATCTGCATCGTAACCTAGTATTATAAACACACTTCCCATAATATAAGCGTGCAGGGACAACAATGGTTCGGAAAGGTGGCTTGTTGTCGGATCGACTGACGGTGTAGATCGATAAGATCGGCCATAGTATAGTAACCGGATGATCGTTAGAGTTAACGATCCAAACAAACTCTAGAATTCTCTCTATATATGTATATGCGTGTATATATATATAATGCATACTGTACCATATACGAACATAACCTGAACTCACTTCTATCGGATACTTGTCTGGTATACGGGATGCTGCGACAGTACCAAAAATCGAGATGAGAATCAGGACGAGGATCCATCTGAAATAAAATAAAAATTATAGACTGCACGTGACTGTGATATGAAAATATCTATAAAATAATATCTATAATAGATCTAAGTATAAAACAGTGTAAAATTTTTAACGACTGATCTGGATATAAGTTGTGCTACAGTCTCTGCATTAGGCTCAAATTGATTTATGCACGGATCGATCGGCACGAACAGCCAGTGTCGTTGATCTTTTCTTGCAGCTCGGAGTAAAGTGCATGCCGTCTAGTAGGTATCAGCATAGTGGCGCCAGATTATTTTGCCAGTGCACTTCAGTGTACAAGCATGGATGATCGTAGAAAGATCTTCTTAGCACAGTAGCAGCAGGAGCACGAGCAATATTGCAGCACGATGAACCGGCTGTGTTGCTGACGCTGGCAAAGCTGAGAGTTTTCGTTTGGGTAAACTGTGCCAGTGCGAACTAATAATGTTTTGCTTGTTGCGTTTTCTTGGAAAGTCTTAATTAATCATATTGCGCCGGCACGAGGGTGGCCGTGGAGTAAAGAACTGTACATATTTGTATATATCCGCATATGTATTATACACATACGTTAAAGCACGATGAGAGCTGATCGGCCTTGCTGAATCGAAAGGGTGTCATTATCCTTGATCATTAAGACTTTGCCGTGATAGTTGGGCACTTTAGAGAAAGTGGAATTTCCTTGTTAGATAAAAGATGAGAGTAGTAGGGACGAAGTACCTACGATGAGAGAACGAAGAACTGGACGAGTGTGTCTCTGGGGATGAAAATAATTAATTGAAATCTGCACTGTTGACTTTTAATCGCAGGATAAAAAATAAAAACTGACTCACGCGGATACATGAAGGAAATGATTTATTATCCGTCCATATGGTTGATCTTCTTGGATCGTTCAATAAAATCATTGAACGATATCGAATGAAAATTGTCATTAAGTAGTTTAACTGCATCGGGTGTGATAGGACGGAGTTACCATAAGGAAGTGATCTCATTCGCGATATAAAATGTCTTTATCGTTACGAATGAATAATGAATTAAGATAAAGACATATAGGTTATATCATACATAAATATTTCTTTGTCGGCAAGTTCCAATAAGATAGTAAAATGTAATAGATCGCAAATGCATCTAAAGCTGTTAGTGAACATGTAATGGAAGCTTGCGAATTTCTTGCAGCAATAAATTTTCCCATTCCGACCAGCCTGCGGAATACAAGCGATTCTTTGTTCATTGTGATACGTCATACTGTACAGGAATCTGTAAGAAGGCTGGTAGGTGTTTGGTATACTTTGTATTAATAGATATAGTACTACGCGATGAGAAAAGTAAAAAAGAATAATTAATTATCAAAGAAAATACGAGAAACCTCGACCGAAGGACCTCCCAGCTAGTCAGTCATTACTCTTGTACTGTATAATCACTGGTTAATGTTCCAATATGAATTCCAACGTTGACATGACTTTAATCCTAAAGGCGATTCTCAAGACGACGATGACACCTAACTATTTACGATGGAAGGCGTCACTTGGGAATTAGTGAAAAGAAAACTGCTGACGTCGCGTAAATGCTTGCCCGTTACGCTAATTCTCGTAATTGCACGATTGGCCACGGAGGCCATGGCCGATTTGGTGTCGCCACTGTCAAGAGTCAAACGAGCGACGCGAGAGGCAAGAGGGAGTCAAAAGAAAAGCCGTCAAAATGGCGAACTGCATCGCGATACTAAATTCCAGTTATATAAGAGGTTACGGGTTTAAACGAGACGGTGAATAATACGCGACGTTGTTGTAAATCTCTTACGGTGGTCCAGGGACGTAAATTTTGGACTCCGCCGGGCATCACGAGGGCCCCCCGATTATACCAGACACAAAAATAAATGACCGTGAAATATGATGCACGTAGCATGCATTGTCTCGGGTGTACCTTTCTGCGCTCTCCGGTATACCAACAGCTTTTCTCTGAAGGTGCCCTTGGACAATGGGGGCGTAAGTCTCAAATAGCCCTCTAATGATACCGGAGCAGAGCACGCAACGGTGTAGTGTTTATACATATATAAATATATCCTACCTGAAGAAGCAGTAGGTGTTGCATCGACTGCAGGGGATGCATTTGTTGGTTTGCACGTAAGTATTGATCGCGGTCTTACAATGCTTAATGCTTTACACGATGCCATTCACATGTAACGTATGGGTTCATTCATAAATATTGATGATCGTGTCAGTGCTGGGGTATTATTTTATTTCTCGCGAATACAGATACGGGAAAGGGACAAAGAAGAAATTCCTTGGACTAAATCAAATATTAGTGATATTCTGAATTTGTATGTATTACTTGTGGTCTGTGTGGATCGCTGTATGAAAACAGCTGATATTAATAGTCATACGTGGAAGACGGTACGTTTCATAGTTGTTTGAATAGACGATTGACTGAGGAGTAGACACGTGGTGCTGAGACATCCTAAACTCTTCTTTTCAAATGGACAAAAAAGATCGCGTACCTTTCCCGGGTTAATGATTGATTTGCTTGTTTTGGAAATTCGTACAACACCAGGATACGTTTATCTGTAAAAATTTATCTTGTCTTTTAGATTATTATTGCTTTGTCGCTTTTAACGATAGTCGAGAGAACATTGAGAGACGCTAAATGAGACGTAGATTAGTAATTTATTATCAGTTTGAGGAAATGCGACCACGCGCTAAATAAAACGTATGACAAAACTATATAACACGTTATGCGTCAGTCACGAACACGACATAACTGATTACAAATGCGTATTAATATGCGTACGCGTGCGATATATGAGTCATGTAAACAGTCTTTTTTTACAATGGATTTCATATAGGAGCGGAAGTATGAGTAAGAAGAATTCACGCCTTAAGCACTGGCTATGTATGTACATGTAACAAACATATATATATATATATATATATATATATATATATATATATATATGTGTATAGGAAACATACTGTAAACAGTGTCAGATGACTTAAAAATGAAATCAACGTATAATAGAAATATTTTTAACAATTAACAAAGCATCCGTGTATAATTAAAACATTGTTTTGTTACCAAAAAAAAAAAATCCTTCACTCCTCACACGTGGAGATATTAAGTTACAAGAGGCACGCAGATATTTCCAGTGGTGCGTGCACTTAACAGGACACGTTGAACATATAGTGTGTTAAGTTCACACATGAACCACCCACAGGGCCACACGTGCTAATATACATATATATATACATACACACTCGTTTATAATTTAGCTTAATATTATATTTTATGACATTTTTCACTTCCCACGCAATGCTCTCAGAGAGTAACTGTTACTTTCATATTAAAATTATTTTCTAAGCCGACAACATATGTATATGTGTACAGAGGCTTAAAATCTTCCTTAAAAAGAATGCAGCTGATATGCACGCACGGATCCAATTTAGAAAGATGCATCTGTCATTCGGCACGCTGGCGCAAGGAACGAATTGGAGAAAAAGAATAAAATTTCTTATGCCGAAGCTAAGAGGCATAAAGTAAACGCAACAAGAGGATAGGATAACCCGATGACCGGTAATATCATAGCTTAGAAGGAGAAAGTAATTGGACGAGGGTGGAACCCCCCGAATTATAAATACAAAACAAAGAGAAGCCATCAGTAGCAATAAGGCGGGTTCGCAAGAAGCGGCACGGTCACGTGTAAGTTTCGCTCGTCGCTCAGCGTATCGCTGACTGACGTGAAATTATAATTCCGTAAAATTAACGTTGCATATGTTAATTATTAAGAAACCGGTCCGTCGTTCGCGGCCAACTTCAAGGTTCTCAATTCATCGCGGCCAGTTTACAAGAAGCGACACCGACGTACCTGCAGGACGATCCAGAAAGAAGTTACTTAATGGACCCATAACGATAGGTAGAATACGTTCGTTATTTATAAAAGGCTACAAGAATAACTTTGATAAATAAACTGCTGTATAAAAAGCAAAATTAGAAAGAAATTGGCTTCTCTAAGTATACATATCTAGCTGGTGTGAGCGAGTGCGTGGGCAAAAAATAAAATTGAGCAACTCTCTTCGAAGCCACGAAATTCTGAGCAAATCCAGTAATTTAATTCGATTAAATGAACGATAATGGCAGCCTTCCCCTTCTCTTTCCTCCCCTCCCCATCCATTCCTCCCACTGCCACAAGATCACTCGATCGAATCAATTAACGCTAATATTGTCCATAGCTTGTAGGCGCCACTATCTCGCGCAGGGCTACCTTGCCGCCAAGCGTGGAGCAATATGCGTCCGGCGTCCAGTAACTCTTGGGACGAGAAGAAGGGATGCTCCACCGGAAGATCGGTCCATGAGATAGAGGACGTATCAGTTTTCCAGGCGTAGGTAAAGGTACCCTCTCTTTAAGAGAGAGAATACTCTTTCTCTCCTTTAATACGAGAGCGTCCGACAAATATTTGCATGGCTTAAACACGTATGCTGGTTACAGGGTTTTCATTTTTGTTTGTTCATTTTTCCCTTCCCTCTTGTCAGGTCTTTCGTGCTTGCCTATTGACACTATGGACAATAACGTCTTTGTCGTAAAGTCTGTTGCCACAAAGAGACGTATGCACCTAGTAATTTTTTAGTATCTTGAATATGTATGTTTTTTAGCTTCAAGATATTCTGCACCTGCATCTGCACCAGTTTTGCATCTGGCACGCGATCCCTGACCTGGATCTCTTTCCTTTTGTTTATTTTCAGTTCACCAATGTGTAACTCAGGTTTTATTCTTCAGAATTTTGTCTAGCGTGCCAGCTAGACAATGTCTGCTGCTCGTTATCTCTTATCTAGGACGATGAGGTAACGTTGCACTATCTGAATGAACGTAAAGAAATGCTTATAATTTTCTCATGAGATTCTTCTAAGGGGCACGTGGTTATCTTTAAGTACAAGTCGGAATGACCGTGGCGGATGTTTATGAGTCGATCGACGTAGCTTGAGAATCGGTTTTACATAAAGGTCGCAGGGTGTTATGCGTATTTAGTAATACACGAGGCAGTAAATGACTACTCGTCCTTTGAGTTGACGCTGTCATTCTGTATGTCTCTCATAAGGATCGTAAATTAGCCTGATAAAGTAATCCGGCACTACGTTAAATTTCTTATCAGTAACCTTCGTAGCAGTGGGAGCTGAACGAGTCAAAAGAGAAAAGGATTCATTTTAAACGCAAAGAATGAAATTATAGTAATACATTCATCGACTGATTCCACGATATTAAAAATCACATGGGCGATTATGAAACACTATTTTTCGCTTTCATCTCGGTTCAATTAATTCATTGATTCGATACTGATGATCGATTCGCAGGAAACAATTAGATACTTTACCGCAACCGGAAATTATTATACGAACGAAGGGACGTGGCGTGCGAGTAACTACAAGATGGAGGACGTTTGTCAAGCCCACCGTTGCTATGCGCCACATGCCCTTTGATCACATACACAAATAACCGTCATTCAGACATCACCATTGTTTTGGTACACAAACGTTCACGTTGCCTCACTCGATAAACCGCGTGTGCATACGTAATAATAAAAAGAAAACACGTACTGTTCCTTCTTTGCTACGGAACAACGGAAGTGGTCACGCGATGCTACTGCGCATTCGGCATTGCGCAGACCAATCAAAACACTTCGATCGAAACGAACTTTTGCGAATGCCAATCGATGAATCGTTGCGTATTGAATATCGAAAATTGAATTTAAAATCTCTATAATCTATATCAAAATGGAGTTCTGCATCGTAGACCAAAGATCTAATTTTTCTAAAATGGAATGTATCTACGATAATCGAAACGGATAAGAAATTGGTACTATGGTCCTTCGGTTTTAGACAGCGACAAATGATATTAAATTCTCGTTGTTCGAGTGTTTTATGGGTCAGGGCGTGGGCCTCCATTATACATGTCGTATTGTTCAACAAGAGCATCGTAAAATGGACTGTTTAATGGGAGGGTCACAGATCACCCACCGGTCAACGGTGCGTGCGATACTATACAGATACAGATCGACAGAGATACTCTTAAGATCAGACGAAACGTAGAGCACGATTTAAAATTTCATAGATTTGCTATACTGTAAATCCGTGAAGAAGCTCACCCTGGCGCGATCCTCCTGTGAAGGCATTCTTGGCTGTTCAAACCGTGAAATTAATCCTTGCGTACAACAGGAGGAATCCATGATTTCCAAGAATATACAGAACTAACTAAAGCCGTATAAATGAAAATTTTCAGAAGTAAGTATCACGAATACCAACTGTATCATAAAGCAAAACAGGCACGAGCTTTAATGCCAACCGAAACATACCAGCAACATACGCATACTATATATTTCCCCTGTATTTATTTTGAAACCGGAAATTAGCACGAGTACGACAAAGGTAATCTCGACGTTTATCGAGGCACCCGTTACCGGTACTTTGAAACGGAGTACTCTTTTATTATATTTTTTTTCCACGGATAATTACAGCTCTCTTTTCATACATTCACCAATCCCAGACGTACGATCAGGTATGCACCAGAAGACAAGAATGATCTGGGGACCGGCGGCGGTAGCTTATTCGAAATCCATACGTCAAAGCCTATCTTAAAATTGACTAAAAAATAAACAGTACACCGTTTTACGTTTTGTACGTAATCTTACATGTTCCACGGTTTCTGGCCGGCGGTCAGGAGTTACGACGTTACATATTTTTATCTGATGACTTCCCACTGGCT